GCGATAAAAGTATTGTACCTTCTGGTACCACCCTTGTTTGTATCTTAAAAAGCGTAATCGATTTCTCCAAGTTTACACTGAATAAATAAATGTTCAGTCTATTCCCGTATGTGTAGTTTGTTTTTTAAATTCTAAAAGTAGCCGTGATTTACAGATATGCAAACGTTCTTTTTTTTTCATTTTAAAGAATGTAAATAAGTTGCGACTCTGTTTTTATAAAGATATTCTTATTTATTTTATTTGATGTATATATTAATAATGCATTTAGGTATTTTTTTTATTAAAAGAAAACAGGTCAAACAAGTACCTAATACATATTTATGTATTTCGAATTCTAAATTTAAGTATTATATACTCATGGTTGCTTGGAGGAAAACATTATCGTAAACTTGTTGGTTAAAATGTTTTTATTATTTTTTTATTTGATTCTTTTTTAAACAAAACTGACATTTAATTAGGAATCAAATGTACATACGTTTGTACTATATTTATAAAGAAGCTAGCACTTACGTTAATTACATAAAAATAAAACAGGCAATAAACATTTTATCCATAAAAGGTACTCAACCCATTTAATATAAGGTCATTTGTTTTTGTAAAAATTTCTGTATAGTTTGTGTGCTTGTGTCATTGAAATTAGACTTTCATCAGTAGGTATCTAGTATTATTTGACATCATATCTACTTATGCTTCATATGATTAATATTAGGTATGTGTATTCTAGGTACTTGCTCTTGTTGGTACATTTTTCTCGTATGTACTTCATATCATATGTGTTAAATTAGAATATACAGATATGTGTGACATTCCATTCTATTTTCCTTTAATCTTATGTATTTTATCAGTATACAGAGTCATTAGAACCAGGGAAATAGTCGATTAAGGGTATTTAAAATTTCCGGTTTTACAGGCTATTGTTTATTAACTTTTTTCGTCTGTATGCATCACAATCACGTTCACAGTTGTAATAGAAAGCCTATCTCTTAAAAAAAGTTTAAAGGAAACAGTTGCTACAATAGGTATTGCTGTTTTCTATTACAATATTAATCATGTAATTTTCTGCTACAACGTAAATCAGTAAGAGAATAAATAAATACGAAAGTTACAAAAATGTGGGGAAATAATTGTTATTTTTAAATTTGTGATTAATTTTGGTTATTATGTAATTCCTGTAAACGAGGATGCTTTGGGGGTTGTAGGTCTACAAATTTTGCCAGGATTAAAATACCCTAAAGTTGAGATTCTAAATATATGAACGTGGAAATTTCTGTTTTTTTTTCACTATTTATTATAATAGGGAGGGAGGACAAAATTTCATCATTTGAAGGTTACTGTGCTACAGCACAAAATAAAAATAATTTATGGTACTAATTGAATCCAGGTACTCGAGTCTGTCACGAGGATGCCTCAGATTCGATTCCCGGCCGATGCATTTTTTTATTTTTTTTTTTGTTACAATTAGGTAACATATTGGGTCTAGCAAATGTTAATTTTAGAAATTATGGCCAACCTGATTGTTTGGTAATTTTATTTTAATAGTATCATAAAGCACATTAACTGTTGTATTATTCATCATCATCATCATAAGGTCGTCAGTCCTAAGACTGGTTGAACACGCATCTTCGCTCTTTCCTATCCTGCGCTAATCTTCGCATTTCCCTAAAGCTAGAATAACCCATATCCTTAACTATTTGCAAATAGTAATCTAATCTAGGTCTACTTCTACCCCTCCTAACTTCCGTTTCTACCCCTAATATGTCTCTGACTAGCTCTTCATGCCTGAGAAGGTGTCCTACCAACCTAACTCGCCTATTTCTTATTGACTTCAATAGAGTCTACTGTTCTCTAACTCTTTCTAATACCTCTTCATTTCTAACCTTCTCTATCCACGGTGTCCTCATCATTTGCCTGTTCACCACATTTCAAACGCTTCTAATCTTTTCTTCTCCGTTTCGCTCACTGTCCATGTTTAGCACCCGTACAGCGCTGTGTTCCAAACATACACCTTTAACAATCTTTTTCGAATTTCTAAATTAACCGTTCGCGAGCATAGACTTCTTTTTATTGCGCTATCCTCTACTTTATATCCCTACTACTTCTTCCGTCCTGACTTATCTGACTTCCTAGATATCTAAAATCGGCCACTTCTAATTTTTCGTCTCCTATCTTTATATTCGCTCTTTCTCTACTTTTCATTCCCTTGCATTATTCATCATATTATTTATTTATAATAAGAATAGACTTAATTTTACAATTTTATATACTATTAGTTTTTAAATTGAGGTTTTTCTTCTTTGAGGAATAGATAGTTTCATAATGACACAAAATATGGACCAAGAACAAGTTGTTATGACTCCTAAATGCAAGACTGCTAACTCTACCGTGCTAGTTATTGAACGAAAAAAAGTCCAGGCAACAAACAATGATAAAGTTCATGTAGCTGGAGGGGATCATACGGGAATTGTTATAAACAAAGAAGTAGTGGCAGGTACTTTTTATTTTATCATATTTCTTAAAGAAAACGAAAATAAACGTTGTTTTTCAGTAAATGGTGAAGTACAACAGCCTGCGCAATTATCTTTAGAATTTCGAGTTTTTCTAGTCAATAGTCATACAGGTAAACACACTCAAGAATCTCGCACACTTCGCTATTGGTTTAGGGAACTTCCCGAAAAGGGAGAACTTACAAATTCTGAAAATGCTTCAGTTGCTCAAGAATTTTTTAGGGAACTGGTTTCCCCGCAGGAATTTCCCAGAGGTAGATATTTCATTATAAATTTTACATTAATAAAAACTATGAAGTACAATCTTTTTTGTTTTCCAGATTATGTAGGATTTATAAAAAAAATAATGAAGTTAATGCAGCACAATTACAGAACAATAAACAAATTGGAGTTAGAATTAAAACAACTGGAGGCAACAGAAGTTCCAAACAGACCCTGTAAGTTATCGCTTATTTTTATTTATTTATTTTTCATCTCATTTTACCCTCATATTTACCACAATTGTTTATTATAGCTCAACCTGGCTATCTTCATATACAACTAGGTTCCAACCTGTCTTCTGCAGGTTTGGTGATATTTTAAACTTTTAGATTATCAGTGATTTAACACTTAACACAATAAATGCATGTACATTGCATTATTACTACACATTATTACTTATAGGAGAAACACTACAAGAAAATGAATGCCGTGTTTTGCTATTAATTTCTCTACTTTATTTTACTATAGGTAGTATGGCAATGAGCAGGTACATTGAGGTGATCCTGCAGAGAAGCCTGCAATAAATGTTCTTTTAAAAAGTTGAAAATATGAATTTAAATTATAATCGAAACGTTTTCTCTTCTAATTGACAAATCATTAAAATGAGTACTTACTTATGAAGCATTGTAGTCATAAGAAGTCGTAAAAGTTTTTGTTGTTGCACAAAGCTATATAAATGCATTTTTAATGTTGATTGCCTTCTTTGGACTTACACTGCATGAAAATAGAACTACAAATTTTTTAGAAAAAGAAAGCCAAGATTGTCACTTAAAAAAATCAACTCACATAACATTTAGAAAATAATTGATACGCATTTGAGATAGAGAAAAAAACTAACAAAATTCTGAGGATTTTGTTTATTTTTTGTCATGAAATTATGAAAGTAATTGATTGAGAAGGATTATTTCTAAATGCTTTGTTTTTTCAGTATCAGCTGATGAAAGTATATTAGGCACTGTTGCAATTTTAACTACAGAAAAACTTCTGGAAATCATTGAATCTTCTTATCCCAATCCAGTTGTTATTTCTGAGATTGCTAAGTAAGAATTTTTTAACTATTTCAATTGATTAAAGTATTATGATAATAACAATGAATTTTAGAGAACATGGTTGGGACGAAGAAGAAATTTCAGCCTGTCTTGCGGAATTACAAAACAGAGGGCTAATTAAATCAATGGAACACGGCGCTTTTACTCGTCAACAGTCGCAAGATGCCCAGGTTACAGTGGTCAAACAAATGCCGACAATTGCCAGTGCTCATCAGCCTACAATTGCTATAATTACCGCACAATATTGCGAAAAAATTGCAGTGGACGCAATGATAGAAAATAAAGAGACCTTCGTACGATACACAACAATTGGTGAGCATTAATTAACTTCAAATTTAAAATTTTTAATGGCCCCAGAAAATTATTTTAATAACAAGTACTATTTTGAAATTAAAAACAAAATTTATTTTATAAATCTTACAAAATATAAATTTAACTTATTTCTTTGTGTTCTGAAATTGATGTGCAATCTGGCTCTGATTCAGTAGAAATGTCTGTTTCACTGCTTACTTCATCATCTGAATCTGTTTCGTCGGTTTCACTATTTAGCGTGAGTCTTTTTATCTTTTCTTCTAAATTATCTTCACACAACAAAGCCCTTTCAATGCTCTCAAGATCTAATCCTAGATCACATTTTCTTATTACGATTTTTTCTAATTCATCGTTTAGATTGTTCCAAAATTTTTCATCTCGTTGCATTACGTAAATTATATAATCCTTTATGTAGAGATTATTCAGAACATATCTCATACAACTACCTCCTAAAAATATGTCATACATATTTATTAGACATTTCGTTATTTGTTTTGGTCCTAATTGAAATAAACATTTTAGGTCTTTCAAAATAGATTCACTCAAATTAAATTCACGATACAAGGGATAAATTAAGCTTCTTCTAAAGGCTGATATCACTGCTTCCTTCAAAGTTAAAAATCCTTCAAACCAGCAAAGTGTTGCACTTAATTTACATATTGTCCATCCTGATTCACAGGTCCCTTCAAAATAGGTTGTCCTTCTATCATAACAGTATCCATATAATATATCTACTAAGCCATTTCGGCAAAAACATTCTTCTTCATCAGTGAGACTATACTGTATGTTGTGTAACTCTTTTAAAAAATCTAATTCTCTATCATTAAATTGAATATCAGTCTTTGAAATGCAAGGCAATTTTAAATTGATAAATTCTTTAATTTCTTCATTTTCACAAAAGTCTGCTATGTAGTGGTCTGGTGAAAATTTTTGTTTTTCTTCTTGAATTCGTAAAGTTCTTCTTGTCTGAAGATCAGTTTTAAATGGATCTACTTCAAATACATCTTTAAATTCAGAACTCACAAATTTAAAATTATAGCCCCCACGTAAACCAAACCCGTACCTGCCAGTATGTAAATCATCTTTATAAAGATCTTCGCTGTTATCGTCACTTGTAGATGAACTTAAAATTTCAATTTTTCTTTCTCCACTGTTTACAACAACCTTTTTCTCCAAAAGTTTTGTAATCAGGTCCAAATCTGGGAAAAATTCACCTGGAATAGCCTTGTCATAAGTAAAACTGAATTCTCCTTTATCTGTGTCGAAAGCACTGTGAAAATTATCATTTTCTTCCAAAATACCAGGCAATTTAAGTCGCAGGTAATATGGCGAACATGTAAACAAAAAGTTGTCACCTTCAACATTCACGTCCAGTTCTTTTAACGAACAGTACGGAGCACGAATGTTGATTGTTACAGTGTTTTCATCTTGCTTGAGTGAAAAACGTGGAGTTATCATTGTAAAATATACTTTTCATATTAATAACATGCCGATGATAATGTAAGGTTAGGTCTTTCGACATAACCACAACTAAAATGTCATCGTATGATAGTGGCTATATAATAGCAAGTGGTTAAATAGCTGCTAAATGAAATAAAAGTAAAATAATTATTGCAATTATTCATTATTTAAATTTATTTTACATTAAAAGAATAGGCAGTTACAGTAAAAAATTTAAGCCTTAAGTATTCACAGTCTTAAAAATAATGTGAAAATCGAATAAGAAACAAGAAAGACGCCTAAAGTAAAACATAATTATCTTTTTGAATTTTTTAAAAGTAGAGAAGCTTTTAATTATTTTATATACAATAACAGGTCCCGCCAATAGTCCAACAGGTGATGCTCCTGTATCTCGATTTGGTAAGGTGTTTTTAAAGTGCCAAAGTTTGCTTGGGACTAGCAATATATTTACAAAGTGCACTTTACTATTATACATACATATTTGTATTTTCACTATTGTCTTTTCGTTTGTGTAAATACACATTTATACACAGCTTTGACATTCTGCGTACCATAATATCAAATTTGTGTGTGGTTTTGTGTTGTGTTATTTAAATATACATGTAATTTGTAGCACATATGCGTTAATTTTTTTTGTAGTTCAGTCTTTTGTTTGTCATTAAGCATTTTAAAGTATTTTACTACATGACGCGACATTTACAAAATTAATTATTTTGTATATTAATTTAAATTTAGATAAAATGAAAGGGTCATGAACTATATTCAATATTTATGCTTAAATTTGCTTATTGGCCGAGCATAGCTGATTCATTAGTTATGCGTACACGAACGTTTTTATGATTAAATTTGAGGTGTTGGATAGTAAAGTTTTCACCGTTTTGCATGAAAACATTGGGTAAAAAACAAAGATCACATACTGTCCACATTCATTTTATATTACTTCGTGAATCTTTATCTAATAGAAATAAATTATTTCTATAAGCCTTGGTAAACCGTGCTAATTTATGGTATTTTGAATACTGTTCATATGTAATGTCATAACCCAAGTTTGAAAAAGTTAGAGAAATTGACCTGTATATATTGTGGTTTGAAAACAAGGAACTAAGTACCTATTAATACGTCTCATCGACTTATTGTAAATTTAATACACTATAAATTAGCATAGTTTATTTAGGATTACAGAAAATTAGCACAGCTTACTTAAGCTTATAGAAGTAATGTATTTTAATTAGATGAAAATTTATGATTTAAAATAACATTCTCAGTTAAGGTAGGACGGAATACATTTGAATTGTTGAAGTAATTTTATTTACACAGGCGTTTCTTATTAATTTCCTTTTATTCTTTTAGGAGAATCGAATGTTTATACACTGGGTAATATTGGAGCGCATCGTGTGGTGTGTACAAAACTACCAACTGTGGGACACACTAGGGAAGCCATGACCGCGGCGGGAAATACAACGACGAGATTATTAGGGACTTTCCAAAAGGTGGAATATATTTTCCTAGTCGGGGTAGGTGGAGGGGTGCCGCACTATACCGATTACAATAAGCACGTCAGATTGGGCGACGTTGTCGTTTCTTACCCCATTAAGGATAAGTAAGTAAATAATTTTGTTTCTTTGATAGGGAAAAAATCTTTTAACTAATTTTATTTCTAATTTCAGGGTTATTTACATTTATTGTAATGATGCTAAAAAGGTAGACAAAGTTTGCGAGTTCGACATGAAACCGTACAGCTCTCCGAGTTTGAATCTTCAACAAATCGCAAGAAATCTCAAATTTTCGGCAGAATCGCATTCGAACGAGAATCCTCCGTGGTTGACTTATATCAATCATGGTTTAAAGAGTCTTAATTCAACTCAGGAACAAGATTTTAATCCACCCAGTAAAGAAACAGATAAACTTTACATGGCCATTGGCGAGAAAGATCTTATCGAAGTCGCACATCCTGAACCACTTGAAAATACCTTTAGAAGGCAAGAGGGTTGTCCTAAAATACATCTGTCACCGATTGCAGCGGGGCGACAGGTGGTTAGGGATGACCAATTACGTCAACAATTTGCGTCCACGGTAGGGGCGTTAGCCTTCGACTGTGAATACGACGCAGTCATCGAATCCATTCTAGGGAACTGCAAAGAGAGTTTTATCTGTGTCAGAGGTATTTCCGACTATCGAGACGGACTTAGAAGGAAAGAATGGCAACCATACTCTTCATTGGTGGCTGCTAGCGTTATGAAAGCTATTATTTGTGGCATGGAACCGCCTACTCTTTAAAAATTGACATTTGAAAGAAAAGGTATTTATTAAACTGGGCTAAAATTAGTATCTGTTGAGAGTTTTTATGGTGCTAATTTTAGTGTTGGTTTTAATAAATAACGAGAAAAGGAAAAGAAAATTAAGTTACCAGTCTAGATTAAGGTTCTAAGTTTCCTGAATTTATTATTAGGTTTTTAATGTACATTTTGAAAATGCTCCGTGTAATTGCCTTTATAATAACTATTCTTTTTGGAGGAGAAAAAGAGATCTCACTGAAAATTTGTTTTAATAAAAGGCAAATAAGTAATATTTATAATCACCATTTTACTATTTTAATCTTGTTGCCCGGTTTTGGCCTATGAAAAGACAATATCTAATAGTTTTAAAGAAAAAAATGTGAGATCAAATTATTTTAATAAGTTACCTACTTGCAATTATTTAGAATGATAAAATTTGATCTCGTCAAGCATTTTAAATTGGATTCCAAAGTTTTTTGACTGAATTAACTTTCTGTGATCATTGGCTTAAAGTAAAACAAAAAAGAGAATAATAGAAAGCACAGATATTAAATAGTTAATAGATAGGTAAAAATCAACTACTGACCTTGATATTTAATATAAAGTTTTTATTAATAAATATTTTTTTGGTATGGTACTAACGTTTTAGTAGTATATACAGGGTGTTTAGGAAAAAACCCATTTGATTTAACATGAGTTAGTTCATCATCATAAGGTCGTCAGTCCAAAGACTGGTACAAAACACACCCCCACTCCATCTGAGCTAGGATTAGCATTTCTTGAAAACTAACATCCCACATTCTTAATTGCGAATAGTAATCTAATCTAGATCTTCCCCTGAACGTCGTTATGCCTGTTTCTGCTTCGTGCCTCCGAAGGTGTCCTACCTTGTTTACTTCCATATCGTCCCTTATTCTACTTTTTCTTATCCATGGTACTTTCATAACATCACATCTCAAACGCCGCACCCACCGAACACGTTTCGCACATTTACAGAGTCGTACTTTTAATCTTTTTCGAATATTCAAATGAATCGTTCAAGAGCACAAATGTAATTTTCTATTGTTAAAAACGACTCGGCTCTGCAGTATTCTTTGCTTTAGGTTTCCCACTATTTCCATTCAGACATGATTTATTGAAACGTGGCGAAATTGAAATATTTTAAAATTCATAATCGCTATACGGAAAAGTAGAAAGAGAAATAAGTCTAAGAATGGGTGTTTTTGGAATATCATGTATATTTTGTGTTCCTTTCGATATTTTGTACTGTGACACATTCGCCATATTGTTTGTTTTTTTAAATAATTTATTTTTAATATCTCTGTATAATATGTTTATTTATTTTATATGTTAATAGTAATACACCTAAATTCATGTAGTTAGTTTATTTTTTGTTTTACGTTTCCCTTACATTATATTTTACTATTTTCAATAATAATAATGCAAAAGAAAATAAACAGTTCAACTTCGAATACATAAAACTGCCGTTAAATAATGTTGAATAATTTATACTGCAAGACTACATTATACAATAATTTTTACAGTCTTTATATGTATTAAATGAAGCACATTATCTGGTTTGTAAGTTACAATTTTTTCAGAAAAAATATTGAATATATGTTAACTGGTATATAACAAATATTGTACAAGTCTGTTGTTGCATTTATAAAAGAAGAGTAGTCTATTGAAAATTTATTGTAGTTATAAACAGAATGATAAGTAAATAGTGGTAAAGTACAAAATTGTTGTTTATTTTTGTAGTTTTTATCCCTATGGCTTTTAGTTACATTATTTCCTAATTCCTAATAATCGAATTAAATATCTCATTTTTGGGAGTTGTCAATTTACAGTTATAAAATATATAGGTATCTTTGAGCATTTTGGTCTGACAGATTAAAGTATTTTTTTATATACTGACTCAAAAGCAAAATTTATTACTACTAACCAGGGATCGGTCAATACAATTTATACCGAGTTTTATGTTTATCAAGCTCAATGCTCGGCTGAATTTCTCGGTTCAGTTTATACGCAGTCTTTGTAATGTGTCCTAAATTATCAATTTACTTTAATCTTGGGAAGCACATTAATAATAGAATAGTTGTTCTTCAAACTGTCTACTGGTGTTTTCTGACGAACATTATCGAAGTATTCGAATAATTCCGAAATTTCACGAATTTATTTTGTATTAAGAATTGTTATAAATGTATAACTATTATGATGTATAATGTAATAATATATTGTGTTCTTTTTTATTTAAGAAAGTAGAAACAAAAGAAGATGAAATGATAGAACAATATACATACATTCCCTTTTTAGCGCGGGAGTAATGTATTAGAAATTTAAACTTTTCGGTAAAAGTCGGAACTATTCGGTAGACACACCGTCCGGTGAATAATCATGTTTGTTAATATGTCTATCGTATAGGCAACCCACTGCTAGCTACTGTTTAGTATTGCCTATATTACAGTCTTATTTTTTAGCTACAATTACAAATGTAAACCTGCAAGTTTTTCGTATAGCTAGCGACTATTTTTCGGAGCGGCTAATGCCCATGATGGAAAAAGGAACAGACTTATTGTAACGAGATAAGAGTCAAGAGTATTTTTCATCATAAATTGCCTTTGTTGAATTTCAAAAATTAACGGTTTTACTTATTTTAGAGTTGCTCCATTTTCTAAATTAATATGACTGTTTTCACTATATCTCTTACTAGTAAAATACTTTAACACTTAACCGATCTATTCTGTTGCAAGTACAAATGCCAAATTACTTTGGAATAATTAGAAAAAACGGGTAGATAGACACACCAGTTATTTTGTAGGGGTTCCGTTTTTCATTCGTCCGTACGAGATCCCAAACCGAAAACCAACTTAATCGGTCGAGTAGATTCGGACCAAATTGACTATGACAGACGGACAGACAGACACACGAGTGATTTTTCATTCTGACGTACGAAACCCTAAAAACGAATATTCGATTCGGTTCGAATTATTTGTCATTTCGAATAATTTGCACTATCCTAATATCTTTACGTGGAGCATTTTTTTGAGGTGTTTATTGTTAGCTGCCAAGTAGTCATTTGTTATAAAAAGATAATGAAATAATAATTGTTTAAAAATAATCAAAAAACAAAAGCCTTATAAGCACCTAGAAAAAAAGCATATCATCACAAACGCATGTAATACTAAAGTTATATTATAATTGAACCAATTTAAAAAATGGTGACGGTTATTAAAAAATAAATTCCTATAAAGGTTTTTTGACTAATGATAAGTGCTGAAGAATTTGTTAAAACGTAACTTGGTGTTTTTTCAAGAGCTGCCTCTGTTTTAAAAATAATTTACAATATTTTATAGCTGTAGTAATTGTATGACTCCATGAATAGAATACACTTTATTTCGATCACATTTTCAAATTGTTAAAAGAAATGCTTCGTATTTTAGTTGTTTATTATTATACACTTTTCTTTTCGTCAGTTACTTGTCAAAAATTTATGCCTTATACATGTGAGTGTTACGGATCGTTTGTAGAAGAAAATTTTAATTTTCAGAAGGTAACTTTTATTTTATTATTAAGTAAATTATATATTGTGATCTAATGCTTCACATTCCAATTTTCTAGTTTTCTGGTACTTGGTACGTAAATAGATATATTGCCAATAAATTTAACGAGGAAACGAATTGCATTGAAATTGATTACGATGAAATAATTAATAGTGAGTACGTTTACTCGAGGAAAGTTTATATGAACAAAAAGATGATACAAGAGGTAAAAGGGACTCTATGGGCCCCTTATCTTGAACTAAACGCCGGTTATTTTCAAATCATTTACGACGATGATCCGTCCACGCAAATGGCATATATGGTTTTAAGAACAGATTATAAACTTTATGCCATTATTTGGGAATGTAAAAATTTAGGTTCGAAAAGTATGCGTACGTATCAAATATTACTGAATCACTTTTTGATTGGTGAAGGTGGGTAAATTTAAATTATTGGTTGCTTTGGCGCAACCAAACTATTATTTGAAGTGAAACTTCTTTACTCACGGTAGAGTAAGTTCGTTTCATGCGAGTAACGAAATCATGCAATGCATTTCCCCTGCTGTCTGTCCCTATGTATGCTTAGATCTTTAAAATTACGCAACGGATTTTAATGCCGTTTTTTTTTTGTAGATAGAGTAATTCAAGAGGATGGTTTATATGTATAATACATGCATAATATAGTAGAGAAACACTGATAATTTTAGAGATTTGTAATGTGATGTCATAAATAAACATTTTTTTTGCGCTTACATTGCAAACGCTGGCTGAACCCTACGAGATAGGTCAAAATAATATACTACAGTATTGTACACCTTAAAAAGGTCTACAAAAAAGTCCGCGATGGTATATGTCTATTTGTTAGGGAAAACCCACAATAACCATTTTTTATCCTTTATTTTTTACGAGAATTAATGGCTTATTTACGAAGCGATTTTTAGCAATACAGCACTAATCCTTATCCAATTAAATACTTTTAAATACATTGTGCGTTTAATATAGATTAGTATGGCCCTTTACAGCATGTAATTTAAATGAATATTTTCGAGGATATTACAGACTTAAAATGCAGGGACATAGCGGTTGCGGCGGTACCGCCCGGTTTGTATTGTCTAATGACAAAAAAGCTGTGATTGTTGTATATAAAGACATTCTATAGTGTATTTACTAGCATTGCACCTGTGCGAAGCATAGTGTACAAATAATACCATTAAACCAATTCCTTAACCCCTATCCCGGTATGTTGTGTATTTGAAGAAGTTTCACTTTAGTAGCATGTTGTATAATTACATGTTGTATTTTTTTTTGTATGAAATTTTGATCATCAATTCCGAATGATAATTAAAAATTCCAATTTATTAGCATCTAAATGTGATTCAACTTTTTAATTATTTAAAACTGTAAATATTAAAACTACCTATCTATAAAGCAGATACGGTATGCCAAATTGGACTCAATTGTTTCATAAATAAAAAATAGTATTTTGATAAAATTTAAAATGTATGTTAATATTTTCTGCGCTTTATTTTTGCTTAAAGACTTTTCAGTATGTTGTGCAGAGTTGAATAGATTTTTTAGCAGATTTTAATTAATTTCGTCATTTTTAAATTTTGTATATAAAATGATGAATGAAAGTTGCTCACATTGGCTATTGAAGGTATTAGAACCTGAAAAAGGGGACAAAGAGCCCAAAAAATTCTAAACTCCTTGGAAATGGATAATCAAAAATATTGGATCCATATTGTTTTCCGGGTTCAATGTCTTGATCCGTGGAATTTTGAAGTTCCTAATTGATATCAGCACCTGCCAAATCACTACTTATGGTACTTTTTATTCTATGAATTACGACAAAACAGCCCGCAAAACAATACCGAATTGATATACGCCAGTTGTGTAAAACTACAAGATATTGTGGTGTGCTAATAAATGCCTGAAAGAATGGGGTTGTAAATATTTTGATATAAAATGATTGATGTCCATTTTACATCAATAAAATTATTTGTAACCCTATTTTGGCTCTGATCTTTCGCGGTAAACAAACTATTTTGGCATCAGTGTCTTTTTTCCAATTAAAACGGGTAACAAAGGAAAATAAGAAATCATTTAGAAGAATTATTTGTTGCTGAACTGAAGAAACATAACATAAACATAGAAAAAATGTATTTCAATTACTTTAAACAGAAAATATGAATCATACTTAATCTTCGCAGTTGGTGATATCTTGCAAACACCACTATTAGTCTATAAAAATTCCAGTATTTAAAAAATGAGCAAATGCCTGCAAGGTTTTGTTAAAAAATATTTTATACTTAAGTAAATGTAGAAAATGAAATAGGTACTACAAAAAAGTATTCACAAGAAAAAAGTATTCTCAAAATACGTATTTTGCATTTATCATTTAAAATACAAAAGGGTATTTTACATTTGAAACAACAAATCAAAAAAGTATTTGTATTTTGTATTTAAATACTTTTTTTAAAAAACCATTTTACACATCTCTACTATTATCTCTTCACCTCACATCCCGAGTGGGTAGTGAGATAGAGAAGTCCCCCTCTCTCACGTTTTATTTTTTGTAATTTATAGATTTATGGAATAAAATAATTCGAAGTGGTCTGTATTCTGTCGAAACTGCCAGACGCGGATCGCAATTTCGATCTTCTTATTGGAGCCTACGTAAAATCCTAAAATGTGGCATCCTACTACAGATGGCGTTTACAGCGCCATTTGTGGTATTTTCTAAAACGCGCTGTTAAGACAGGAGGTAAAAGTTGGTCTGTGTTCTGTCGGAGCTGTCTGCGACGCGCTGATGAGGTCCAAAAGGATCGAAATCGGGATCCGCGTCTGGCAGTTTCGACAGAATACAGACCATTTCGAATTATTTTGTTCGATTATGGTAACGTGCCTATCACGTTGAGGTTAGCTATACTGGGGTTCGTTTTAGCAAGTAAGTAGATATCCATATATTTAAATGGACCTTGTTGGAGCATACGTAATCCTAAAATGTAGCATTGTACTACAGATAGCGTTTACCGCGCTATTTGTGGTATTTTCTAAAACGCGCTGTTAAGACAGCAGATAAAAGTTGGTCTGTGTTCTGTCGGAGCTGCCTGCGACGCGCTGATGAGATCCAAAAAGATCGAAATCGCGATCCGCGTCTGGCAGTTTCGACAGAATACAGACCACTTCGAATTATTTTATTCGATTATGGTAACGTGCCTATCACGTTGAGGTTAGCTATACTGGGGTTCGTTTTAGCAAGTAAGTAGATATCCATATATTTAAATGGACCTTGTTGGAGCATACGTAATCCTAAAATGTAGCATTGTACTACAGATAGCGTTTACCGCGCTATTTGTGGTATTTTCTTATAAATTTATATTACATACAAATACAAAATTTCCAAAAGATTTCCATATTACACACTCGGGAGTTTTCCAAGTGGGTAGTGTACCTATGTACAATGCCTTTCCCTCGGCCCTGATCCACCTCTCCTTGTTAGTTATTTTAATGGGTATATTTTTTTTTTTTAGATTTTATTTGGATACTTACTAGAAACAATACGTTTTCGAAAAAATATCTTTACGAAGTTGAAAAGGCACTTAAAAAAAACAGATTAAATTTAGAAGGCGTGAGTTATTTAGGTAGCAACTATCTTTTATGTTCTGAAGATGAGAGTCTATACTTTTAGATTACGTATAACATGTAGAAAAATAAAATGTATATCTAATGCCTTTTTTAGTTTTAAAAATAAACGATATTTTGTTCACCGTTTTATGCTTTCTTTATTTCGGCTTGAAAAATTAATGTTTATGTGTTAAAAATATTTACATATACATACATAGATACATATGCAATAAAGCGTAAGCGTAATTAACAATTAACATTATTATGCTACCTGTATTCACTTTGTTGTTAAATGTTCTTGTAATCAGTTGTGTTTATCAATTAATAGTATGAAAAGTATGTACACATTTAGTTTTATAAGTGTAGTGTTTTTGGTTTCAATAAAAAGCCAAAGGTTTATGGATAGAACCTGCCAGAGTTATGGTTCGTACACAGTACAAGAATTCAATCTTGAAAGGGTAAAAAGAAAAATTTTTAATTTTAATATATCTTCCAACACTCTTTTATATTTATACAGCGTGATTGATATAAGCCGTTCATTAGAAGCGAAAAGAGTTATCGATTTGAAACTCACACTTCTACAAGTCATACAAAAATCAATTAATGAAAATATTTTTGAAACTGCGGAATTTCCGATTTAGAATTTTCAATATTTAATCGAATGAAAGTAGAAAGTGAAAGACCTTGCTTGTGTTTTCTTTTTTAAATTTTGCAACTCAAATCACTCATGATTTCATATGTCTCAAAATGTCATTTGTGTAATTAGATTGCATTTTTTAAAAATAATTTCAATAAATTATTAAATATATCTAAGATTGTTTTATACGTGATTTTATTCTGAATAAAAGAATTAAATTACACGTTCTTTCTCAACCAAACAAGAGTTCTTGACACAAATAAAACATTAAAAAATAACATAAACACAGTCAACTTGACCAAATCAAAATGAAGTTAAATCTATGATTATTTATATTAAGCTTAACAACTATCCCCAAGGTAGCAGTACTAACCAGAGGTTTCA